CCTACACCCCAGCAGCCACCTCACTGCACCCCAACATCCCATCCCCTCAGAACAGGGGGGCTCCCCATGCAGATGCAAGCTGCCAGCGCTGGCTCTGCCCAAAGAAACCGAGTGCTGTTTGGGAGCAGAGCCATGGCTCCTCCTGGCTGCCAGGCTGGCACGCCTCCCACCAGCACTACGCCAGGCCAAATTCTTTGTGATTCCTGGGTTAACACCTGCTGCTCGTAATGCTGGTGCCCTCCCAACCCCATGCATGGGATAGGAGCATCCCATTGGACCCACGCCTCCACATTAAGCCCACTTGTGACTCCTGGCTATTCAGACCCCATGCACCCGTAGCACCCGTGGGTGAGCAGGGCCTGCAGAGCTGCACCCTGCGGGGCACTCCTTCCCCAAACAGGTGGTGGGGACAAAGCTTCCAACGCCCCGGGGCTGGATGTGCCCCTACTTTCCTGCTGCAACAGTGTGAGTCAGCTTGGAGGACCCCCCCACACCCACTTTGGGCATGCTTGGAGGAGGAGGAGGAAGGGGCACAGCCCCACGTCTCCTCGTGACAGCCGTGACGCAGGGACCATTGCCTGCAGTCAGGGGAGTGCTGGACAAGCCTCAGCCTGCCCCATTGTGCCAGCCCTGCCGTGGGGAACGGCTGCTGGCAATGGCCCACTGAACCCAACCGGGCATCCCAGGGCACAGAGCGATGCAGGGAGCTGTGCTGTGCTGGGGTGGTGCCAGGGTGCAGGAGGGGTGGCTGCACCCCTTGTGCAAGATCTAAAAACATGGATGAAAAGATGAAGATGTGTGTAAAAGGGCTGCAAGACCACGTGTGTGGCAAAGCGCTGCCCAAGATCAGCTTTGGGGTGCAAAAGCTCCCAGCGCAGCCCATGACCTGCGAAACCACAAAGGGATCTAAAGCAGCTTCACAGAGGAGCAGGGATGGGGGGCAAGGCAGGGCGTGCTGGAAGCGCTGAGGGGTGGCACTGCTGTCCTCTCTGTGCACAGCCTGGCACGTGGTCAGCTTCAGGTCCAAAATCACGGCTTCAATTCCCCCATTATGGCACTCACCCCTACTGGGCAGGCGCTGCTGGTCCCACAGGCTTCAGCTGGAAGAGCAGACGGGGGGCTTTGCCCCTTCCCTGTTTTCAGAGCTGCATTTCCCAGAGCCCTCCTGACCCCACAGAACTCCCAACCCAGGGCTGGGAAGCCCGGAGCAGGAGTGGGTCCATATCCAGCCCAAACCCTCCAAGTATAACCACTGAGGACCTAGCACAGCTTTCCCATCATTCTACCCCTGCAGGCTTTGCTCTGACAGCTCCATCCCTTTGGGTGTAAACCCATCCCAAATCAGGAGCACAGGAACCCCCAAAGCCATCCCCTGGCCCTGCTGCTCTCTGCATCCTCCCTCCTGCCCCATGCCATCCCCACCCCATCGCTGCAGGGTCCTGCCAGCTCTCACCCACCTAAGCCCCTAGGTTTTCCCAAACATTTGTTTTCCCAAACTTTGGAGGTTCTCTCATTGCTATGCAATGCGCGTCCATCCCCTGCCCTCCTCCATCCTGCCTCCCCCTTCTCCCCGCACAGCTCCAACCCATCCCAGCCTGGGATCCTAAAACAGGCTAATTTTTTATTCTACTCCTCGAGGAGGAAGAAAATAATAATAATAATAATAATAAAACCCAATCTGGGAGAAGGGAAGGACCCTGTGAGCTGTGACCTCCTCCAAACCCCCAGCACCGAACCCGGAGAAGGAAACAAAAGGCGGTGGGATTTGCATTTCCACACAGCGCAGAGATGGCCCCAACTTGGGGCTGTTTATTCTAGGCGTAGATTTTCAATATTTGGGATGATTAGCAAGTGAAAGCCGGCTGTTGCCAGCATGGCTCCGTGCCAGCGCGGCGCTCAATGGAGGAGAAAGAAAGACACAAGAAAAGCAGAGAAAAGAAGGGGCTGTGTGTATGTTTCCCCTTCTCTGCAAAGCAGAGATTGGGTTGAGGTGTCGTCGTTTGCCCGTGGGGTGGATGATGGATGAGGGGCGTTGCAGGGGAAGAAGAGAAACCACCGATAGAGGCTTTATGGCTGCGGGTTGAACAACCCAAAGGTTATGGGGCAGAGCAGGGAGTGGGGCACTTCCCATCTTTATGGCATGCCCAGGCAGGTCGGTGCCACCCGCGGGCAGGAGCACCGTGTCCCCATCCCATGGCTGACACCCAAACCCCAAAACCACCCCTTGGGTGGGAGGGGAAAACCCATGAGATCCACGTCCAAGTTTGCGGCGCTGCTTTCAGGAGCTGAACAAAACGGGGTTGTTTGGGGCCTCTCCTGGTGCCTGCTTTATGCTCACCCTTTTTCCTGGCTGGCAGGAATGCTGGCTGCTGGCAGTGCCTGTATGGGGTGGGTGCCCGGGGCACTGCTTTTTGCAGGGGGCGAAGCAGAAATGTGGGCTTTTTGCCAGCAAAAGAAGCAGTGAACCATAGGAGCGAGGGGCTGCTGGCTTTTCCCAGCCCTGCTAATAACACTCTTAAAAAGGAGAAATAGAGAGCAGAGCCCACGTGCTGACAATAGGGAGAGGGGCAGGAGGAGATGCGCTATTGAGATTTCCAGCCATAGAATCGTGGAAGGTTTTTTCCAGCCTGTGGGATCCCACCTCCCCCAGCCCAACCATCAGCATGACCAAATCCCAGTGCTAACGCAGGTCCTTCAGTCAAAGAGATCCTCGTATCTCTTTAACACCCCCACAGTGGTTCTCCACCACCTCCCAGCCCATCCCAGCACCTGACCACCCCCAGCCCCTCATTTCTCCTTTGGGGGCTCATGCTCCCCAGGCCAAAAGGAGACCCAAGCCCTGCCTCATCAACTCAATCGCACCCTGCCCTCTCAGCACTAAGCAGGACCACCTCCAGCAGTGAGCCCAGCCCTTCTTTTGGGCTAAGATTGCCCAGGTTGAGAGCAGCTGTGATTGTGAGCACCTGCTGCTACTGCTACTGCTGCTGCGCTGCCCATCCAGTCCATAAGGCACAGGAGCTGGGATGTCCTGGAGCAGGTCCAGCTGAGGTTCTGAGCCCCAGTGAGGGTCTGGAGGGGACATTGCTGCCTTAGGGGTACTCAAAGGTGAGCAGAAGCCTCTTTTTCTCCCGCCATCCCATTATACAGGTGTGGGTCCCCCCAGTCCGTCCACCCCAACACTGAGCTCCATGTCCCAGCCCCCCACCCTCCCCACACAGACCCCCCCACACCAATGCTTGCTTTGCAGCAGCTGCTTTGCTGCTCTTGCAGAGCCTGAGCTGCTCCTCGGTGTAATTGGCCCCACGAGGGTTTGTCTATTCCTGCAGTGCTGTGCAGCTCCTCTCACCACCCCGCACCCAGGAGGGCTCACAACCTGTTTGTGTTCCTATGGGAAGAAACAGGGACAACCACCCCCCAGGAGCAGAGAAGGACACACCAGAGCTTGGGAGCAGCTCCCAGTGTCCCCAAGTCAGCAGGGCCCCCTGATGTGAAAGTTGTGCCATGCATGAGGTTTGTGCCTCAGTTTTCCTATGGGGGATTGCTGAACCCCCATAGGGCTGGAGAGCAGGACTGGGATGGTGAGATACTGAGCCCCACGTGGGAGAGGCTCAGACACAGCCAGGCAGGGCTGGAAGGAAACAAGGAACCAAAAGTCTTTTTTTTTCTTCTTTTTTCCCCATTTTTTCTTTTCCTTTTTAATTTGTAAATAACTCTCCATGAAAAAGGTTATAATTGCACACGTATCTTTGCATTCATTCGCCACAACCCAGGAAAATATAAAAACAACAGATGAAAAGGAGCATCACCCATACAAATACATACATCTCCACCAGCCCCAAGGCTGCGTGGGCTTCAGCTCCTGGCCCAGCCCCACTGAAGCTGTGGGGTATGGAAGCCTTGGTGCCCGACCCCCCCATTGCCCATTGCAAATTAAACCAAGGCCATTTCTCATTTTATTTTTTAAGGCTGGTTTATTGACTCTAGTGCTACAGCTACACTCCTGCTATGTTACTCACAACAACAATCCTAAGAGCTTCTGCAACCAAAAAAGAAAACCTTTACAATCTCCCGTTTCTTTTTTTTTCTGCGAGTCTAAGACACACAGCACTGGTACTACAGCTTTTCCTTACTCCTACTCAGCACCTACATCACCCAAACCACCCATGGGGAAGAGGAGCAGAGGAATCCAAGAGCTTTGGGTCAAGTTTCGGCACAGTTTGGCTGCAGGAACGGTGCTGACATTGACACGGAGTTGGGTGACCCAATGCTGATCAAAGCCACCGTGCAGGTCTTGGTTTGCAGAACAACTAACAGAAGCCAAAGTACAAAACAACCCCCAACCTACATTTCCCCTACCCCACTCTGAAAAGAAGTCCTAATGCTAAAAATATAGGTTTCTTTGAATATATAATATATAATAGATTATATAAAAACACCTAAAGAGGCAGACTGAATTTACGGATCTTTCCTTCTTCCCCAGGCACAAGTCAGGAGGGAGGTTGAACTCGGAGAATCCAGAGGGGACTCTATTTGCCTGCTAACTAATTAGCTACACCTACAAATGAACCCAGACAGAAAGAGAGAGAAGAACAGAGAGAAGAAGGAGAGAGAAGATTGCACGTAGTCTACGGAGTCCGAAGCCACCAGGAATCTTGTCTGTTGGTTCTGAAGAGGAGGACTGTATGCCGTGTCCATTTCCATGCAAAGAAAAGTGGTAATTTACATTTTGTTTCTTAAAAAGTAAAAAAATAAGTACTGTTTTATCTCTTCTCTTGAGGAAACTCGTGGACCTCAGACTTCTGGTGTGTCCTTTGAAGATATTTCAAGCAATTTTTGTGTTACTGTGTTCTCCCCATTGGTATGTCTATGAATAACCCTACCACGAAGCTGATCAAGCTGCTGGGGGAGACTGTCCATAGCAAGTATTGTCCATTGCAAGTTCCAGCAGCACAAAGGGAGCATCCTCCCAAAGCCCTTGTGGGTTTGGTTCGGTCCTTTGCTTATAGAAAGGCTCCCGCAGCGCTCCACTCATTGACGTCCGCAGGCAGCGAGGCGTCACCGAGCTCAAAGAGCTGCTCCATGCTGACAGAGCTGGACAGGAAATCATTGCCATCTTCATCCCAGGGGTGCTGCAGGAAGGAGGTGGCCATGAAGGTCTCGTCAAAGTCCAGGTTGTTGGGGTTGGGCTCGGTGAGGGGCTGCTCGGACCCGGCCATGCACCACTCCTGCGGATTGTCGCGATATCCATGGCCCGCCAGGTCAACCTCACGCTCAATGGGGCTGATGGGCGGCGTGAGCTCCAGCTCCTCAAACGTGGCAAAATCTCCATTGAGGTTGGTGTCAAAGACGACCTCCCAGTCGAAGTTGCCCTTCAGGGAGCCCAGCTCGGTCTGCTCCTCCTGGGTGAGCAGGGCTGTGTTGAGCAGCCGGGCCGCCTTGGCTGTGCGTTTGGGTAAGGGCTGCTTGCGCTTGCGGCCGCTCTTCCCATCCCAGCTCTGCTCGCCGGTGACCTCTTCAAACTCCTTCAGCAGCTGCTGGGACTCCGTGTTGACGTTGAGGACGTTGCCGTTGGCACGGCTGGAAGGCGCCGGCCCGGTGACGCCGCACGCTTGGTGCTGGGCCCTGTTGGTGAAGGCTGGGTGGATCTGCACCGGGGGCATCCTCCGCTTCTTGAAAGCCCCGTTCATCAGCCGGTCGGCGTACTGAGGGTCGATCTTCCAGAAGCCGCCTTTCCCCGGCTCGTCCTTCTCACGGGGCACTTTGATGAAGCACTTGTTCAAGGAAAGGTTGTGTCGGATGGAGTTCTACACCCAAAAGAGAAAAGAGAGAGGTTGAGCGTTGCTTCCTGCATGGCTACGCGTCATCAGCTGGGATCCTGGGGGGAAGCAAGGCAGAAATGATGCTGTCACGTCATCCAGACCATATGCCCAACAGACACTTCCCTCCTTGGGCTTCCAGTGTCATTTCCCTTCCTCCCAGCCAACCAAGAAGCAGGAGAAGACAAGGGTTTGAACCAGAACTTGCCAGCCATCAGGAAGCATTTGGGAAAATCTCCTCGGCTGTGAAGTGGGGCCACAGGGTTTGAGCACTGGGAGAAACAGGCCAGACCCACCCTAGGAGCTCTAGTTCTGCACAGAGGGTGAGGAGGGACTCACAACCATGGCCCTATTTTAAATGGAGCATTTCAACCCACAGCAATGCATGGCAGCACCATGGGGTTGGCGTCATCCAACCCTGTACCCCCAAAGGTCATCTGTGCCAATTGCTAGGGCAAGGGGAGGTGGGCAAAGCTTTCCTGGGCTATCTGCCCCAAGAGGTGCCTCCTGGCCCAGGATGTGTGAAATCACCACATCTTCATCAGCCACAGCTCAAAGCAGCTGGAAAAAAAAAAAAAGGAAAAAAGAAAAAGAGGAGTTTCTGCTCCTGTTGAGCTGTTCTGAAGCCCTGAATGTGCCTAGAGTGATGTGAATAATCAGAAAGGAAACTCAGTTATCGGGTAAATAACACAGCGTTGAGCTCCACAAAGCCAAGACCGTATTAAGAGATTGGATATGGTAGAGGGCTTTTTTTTTTTTTTTTTTTTTTTTTAATGTTGCCTGGATATCTTTATGCTTATTCATCCATAATCCGTAGTGCCGAGTAGGAAAAACAAGGCTTGAATGCTCAGAGCTGTTGAAAAACACACACACACACATAGGCACACACACAACAAAACCCAGTGCTGGGCTGGAGCTCCTTGGGCGCGCTGGCTCCCCTCCAAAGCACTCAGCTCCCACAGGAATAGATCCATCTCCCCCCGGAGTACGGGTGGGATGACCTTTCGAGGCTGTCTGCTCACAGGGGAGTTGGGGTAGGGGAGGAGAAAACGGCCTCGAAAAGAAAGAAAGGGGAAAAAAAAGAGAAAAGGGGCAAAAAAAGAAAGAGGAAGAAGGAAGAAAAAAGGAAAACAAAGAGAATGGAAGAAGAAAAAGAGAGAAAGGGAGGAAAAAAAAAAGGGAAAAAAAAAAGAGAAAAGTGAAAAAAAAAATAAAGGAAGAAGGGGAATCACAGACATCCCCGCAAACATTCCAGGCTGCAGAGATTCTAAGTTTACCATTTAATGACATTTTACAAGGGTCAGAGCTTTGTGGGCTGAATTCCGGGCTCCCCATCTCCCCTCCCCATCCCACATCTCATTCAGGCCGGGCCACCCCTCGTTACATGGACATATTTATCATTCCTCCCTGCCACAATCCTGCAAACCCCCCGCATGTCTGCGGGGTAGGATTGAAAACCCTTCTTTCTTTCTTTTTTTTAATAAACACATTTAATTAAAACCACGGTGATTAGCCAGCCAGGAGCTTGCAGGGCGAAGTCAACATGCTGGCACGGTGCTGCTCCACCCCAAAAGACCCCCACCAGCAATGCACACTGCCCCAATGTTCCCATCTGCCAGAGCTGTGCTGCTCTATGGGGTGGCCCCATAAGGAGGGTGCAGGGAGGATCTGGGGGGTCCCAGGTGCTGTCCTCACCAGGAGGATGCAGGTGTTGTGCAATCCTGGAGGATAAGGAGTTTCCTGCCCTGGAATGGGCTTTGGGAGCTGCTGGAGATGTGGGCAGAGGGCAGCCTGGGGGGGTTTGCAGTGTCTTTGCCCTGTGCTGTAGATTGGGTGTGGGAATTCTTTGGGATCTGTGGAGGTCCTCCCTGCCCTGCCGCATCCTGAAAGCCTCAACGTGACCTTGCATGGAGGGCACAGAGATGGAGGGGCTGGGAAAAACCCCCAGGTTCAAGCTGTGCCTAGAACTGCCGAGGGCTGTCCCCTACCTCTGAGGATGGGTTCATTCGAGATATGGGACAGCCCAGCCTCTCTCTGAGGCTTCACATTTCATCACAGCAATGGAGTCTCCTTGGCCTCTCCAAGAGAAGCAACCTCCCCTCTGCCCTGCTCGCAGACCTGCAGCGTTTCTGCTCTGAGCTTCCCCAAAGGGGGATTTATCCAACGTGCAGCATCACCCCGTGAGCCCACCCCATCCCTCTCCTCAGCACTCAGAGCCTTCATTTGGGGTTTTCACACACTGAGCTCTAAGGGGGGCTGCAGGAAGGTGGAGCTGAGGACAGAGACATCCACGTGCCAGGGCCAAGCATGCACCTCCCCGCTCCTAAAATGGCCCTGGGCTCTCCCCTGTAATGGCTCCTTCCCTCCGCCATCCCTGCACACTCAATCCCTGTCCCTTCATCCTTCCTCCCTCTCCCATCTCAGTACCTCCATCCCTGTGCACACCACAGCAAACCACAAACCCCACAGGAGCCAACCCCCCTCCACCCGACGGCGCACCCCCCCCACATCCCAAACCCTCAGAGCCCAAAGCACCCACCTGCCAGGTGGGGTCGGCGTGTCGGAAGTAGCAGAAGTTATCAGTAATCCATTTGTAGATGGCAGAGAGGGTGATTTTGGTCTTCTTGCTGGCTTCCATCGCCATGCAGATAAGAGTGGCATAGGAGTAGGGAGGCTTGACGTGCGGGTTGGTTTTGTAGTCGATGTCCTCGGGTGGCTGTGCGTGCAAACCCGGGTGTGCCGACCTCGAGGTGGAGGAGGAGGTGGGTTTGCCGGGGGTGTGGGGCATCCCCATACACGCCGGGTCGGCAGCCAGGGGCGAGCACGGAGCGGCGAAGCCGGGGATGTGGTGGCAATCGTGAGGATCGGGGCCGCTGGGGCACGAGGAGGATTTGCCCACGCTGGCGTTGATGATGGAGAACTCCTGCAGCCACTGCAGGCTGGTCAGGCTGTCGTCCAAGTTGCTCGAGTCCCCCATGCTGCCCTGCTGCCCCTCGGCCGCCCGCAGGCTCAGCCAGCCCTCAGCCATGCCTGGGCGCTGCGGCAGCTCCAGCATCCACGGGGAGCAGCGCCGGGAGGGGACGGGGACGGACCTGCAATGCCATCGGGGGGGGGGGGAAAAGGGGGTTGGGCCGGGTCAGTTTCCCCGAGGTGCAGCTGCTCTCGGCAGCCCAAACCCCCAAAACGACCGGTAAGAAGCTGAGCCTACCCCAGAGCGAGCTGATGGGTTCAAGCTTCAGTCGTTCTTGCTGAGTTGCTGTTCAGCCCCCAGCGTGGCCATGAAGCTGTCACCCAATGC